CTCCATGGTACTAATGGCACTCGAAGCCGCGGTTGCTTCTGGGCTGCCTGACTCATCAGCTGGAGTCTTGTCCTTCCGCCGCTGCTGTCGTTTCTCACGGTTACTGACCTTGGTCTCCCAGGTACCTGACAGATACAATTACCATGTTCTGACCACTCTATGCAAATAAACTATGTGCTGAGTCAAAGCTATTTATTAAGCAAATACTTTATGATAACGAAACACACAAATATATTCTCTCTATATACAGTACATCTATATGTGAAGCAAAATAAATTAACTACAACAAATCATGGGATTCATATTAATCAAAACATACCTTCATCTGGTTCTTTGCCATCAACAGATGTAGAGGGTTTTTTCTGTTTTGCTGGAGGCTTTGCCTTTTTCTTATTCTTCTTTGCCTAAAACCATCAGGAGCATCAGGTTGAGTGAATACCAGTATTTTGGGGTGAACTATTCTTTTAAAACTACAGTAAATGTCTAAATAAATGAACCTTGTCAGTCTTCACTTCTGGTAGTTCTTGACCGTCCTCCAATTTGGCCTCTTCCTGAAATTCAACAGCAAGTCCGTTCCTCTGGGCTTTCTGTCGAACATTTAGAAAACTGATGACTTTTTAAAATAAGTCAATGGGAAGTAATTATGCAATGTGTATGCAAATGCATGTTTTAAATAGAACTGGGATGCTGAATGAAGCGCGTGACAGTTTTTCTGCTTTTAAAGATTGACGACACCGCGAACCAATAGCATTCGAGTGCGGGTTGTGAAACGCAATCTCATTGGTTGGACTATTGGTACTGAATAAATACGCCCTTCACTGAACCAGTCGGCGTTTTGAAGGAGACGGACAATCTTGAACAAACGAAACGTATCCTTATAAGGTGTGAAAACCGTGTATGATGTTAAACACTCTTTCTGGAGCTTTATATAGACTTGTAGACACGAAATTGTAATAATTTTAATAATACGTTTCTTAACGAATCGTTTGAGAACTGATTCAATGACTCGCTTGTCTCCACCTACAGGCGTCGCGATGCAACACGCAGTAAACGAATCTGATGGTGAATCTTTGTGGTGAACAAAAGAATCGAGTCACTGAGAGGAATCGCCTCGAAAGCAAACCTTCTCAGCATTCTTCTTTCTGGTCCTTCTTCGGGGCTCGTCTGCCTTCTTCACCGTTTGCGCTGGACCCGTGTTGTCGGCTCCTGTCTCTGTCCCTGAAAGTCTTTTTGATAAACCACGACAGACCGAGACCCATAAAATCAGAATGAGAACTAGACCGCCCCAGGCCGATAAAAGGAGCAGCCATGGGGCGCACAGATCAGGATTCAAGCCCAAGTCTATTCCCAGCTCAGACTTCAGATAGACGAGGCCGGTCGACAGGGTTTCTCTGACATATCCCGTTATCTGCTCCACATGCTGTGAAGCGATCTCTTGCCAACCCGGTGCCATTGCAACCTATCGTGCGGGCACCGGCATGCAACCATTCACAAAAACAACAGTTTGTGATGATTACACGGGAAAATACATAGCTGTGCCACCGACTACGGCTGCTATTGCTGCTGCTTCTTCTTCTTGTTGTTTTATGGTGAATAACTTCTTAGGAGCATTATCGCCACCTACTGTACTGGAGGTCAAGTAAACTTTCACAGGTGATTAGTCGTCGTCTTCTTCTTTGACATTTTATGGCGGTTGGCAAACCAGCTTTAGGTGCATTTACCGCCACCTACTAGGATGGAGTGTGGAGCAATGACGTTAAAGGGAAACTAAAAAAAAAAAAAAATTAGTAGTGATTCTTTAAAACCTGTTTATTAACTCTATCTTTGAGATACTTAAATAATATGTGAAACATTTCTATAGTCACATCTTTATTTAACAATTTCTGAAGTTGAGATCTGATTTATTTCTATATGAAGCGCTTCTGTAAGTTGTACTCTTTCGTTGTCATATCCTTTACATTTTATTAAAATATGTTCAACTGTTTCAGGAAGATCACATTTACCACAAAGTCCAGACTCATGTTTTCCTATTATAAATAATGATTGATTAAGTGCAGTGTGTCCAATTCTAAGGCGAGATATTATGCCGTCTTCCTTTCTATTCCCCAAAATTCTCCTCTCATTTCCAACTGTTTTTTGAATATTATATAAATGCCGTCCTTTATTCTCACCATCCCATTTACTTTGCCATATATCTTTTAATGCTTTTTTAATTAG